TTTTTAGTTTTATATCATGTGTGTAATATTTATAAATCAACCCTTAGCCAGAGACCCAGAATTTTTTTCAAATTCCTAATAATGCAGATTCCAAAATGAACACATAAGTGATACATTTATACAGAGTGAAATTCAGAATTTTATTGATGGCCTTTTTTTAATGTTTAAGAGTAATACCTATTTCTTCCAGTTGCTTTCCTCTTGCCCTGTCCAAAGAATCTCTTTTTATTCACTCAGTCTTATGCCAACTTACAGAAGGGCAAAAGTGGGATCTTGGTGTTTAATTTTTGTTTTATTTTTTCAGTAACTCTGAAACAATCACCCTGTTTTTGGCGTCACCTTTATCCCACTCTCAAATGTGCCTTAGGTGACCAAATCCTGAAACTCTGTGAAGCTTCCTTTGAACCACTGCTGGCTTAGAATTCAACTTTCTTGAGTTCTTTCAGTCATTAAGCTTTTATACATCTGCTTTTCAGTTTCCAAAAATTTGTGTTTTTCTTTTTTTTAACATCTTTATTGTGGTATGCTTGATATACAGCAAACTACACATATTTCAGATGTACAATTTGATGAATTTTGATAGATTTGTACACCAATGAAACCACCATCACAATCAAGATAGCTAACATTTCCATCACTCTCCAAGGGGTACAAATTTCGGATTCCCAATTTATCCCTTCCCACCCTCTTTACCCCTATTAACCATAAGTTTGTTCTCTATGTCTGCAAGTCTGTTTCTGTTTTGTAGATAAGTTCATCTGTGTCCTTTTTTTTATATTCCACATATAAGTAATATGTGGAGTATTTTTCTTTCTGGCTTACTTCACTTAGAATGACAATCTTCAGGTCCATCCATTTTGCTGCAAATGGCATTATTTTATTTTTAACAGCCGAGTAGTATTCCATTTGCATGTGTGTGTGTGTGTGTGTGTGTGTGTGTGTGTGTGTGTACATATGTATGTGTGTGTATATATATATGTATGCCACATCTTCTTTATCCAGTCATCTATCAATGGACATTTAGGTTGTTTCCATGTCTTGGCTATTGTAAATAATGCTGCTGTGAACATTGAGGTGTATGTATATTTTAGAATTAAAGTTTCCTCTGGATATATGCCCGGG